TTGAAAATATTGAATTAATTTAAAAATTAATTTGAAAATATTGAATTAATTTAAGTTGCAAAATATTTAAAAAATTTTGGCATTGACCAGTTTTTACTCAGCGAGTTTATCAATTTATATGAAGAATTTTACTGAAGAAGTTTCAGTAATGTCTCAAATTTATCTGATTTCAAGTAAATAAAAATGTCGAATTTTTGCGACTTAAAAAATCAATTTTTTTTTAATCCTGGTAGCATCTCCCCTTTTTTTTGAAATATTCGTGGAACAGTAAATGGGTCCCACACAAAATTTAGATGCTGATATTTTCAAAAATCACCCTAACAGCTATATATGTATGTAGATAATAACACCTATGTACATATGTGCATACATAGTGATTTTAATATTTTATTAGCTTTTCGACTCGCCTTAAATATTTCAAAATGAATCTATCCTCACATCTTATTCTCATTAGTCGATTTTTTTGCACATGCGTACTTTTTTTAACTTTTTCCTGCACTGTTGTTGCTCATAGCGGTAGTCTACAAACTCTGAATCCACCATTGACTCCGCTCCCAAACCGGTTAGCGCAATGATAACTTCAAAGATTTTTTGCTAAGAAAATTTCTGTTGAAACTCACAAGCGGCTAACTGACTGCCTGCTGGCTATTGGAGCGGTGGACACGCACACACAGCGTGGAAGTATTTGTGCATGCAGTGGCTAATTTTTTTATATTTTTTCTTTACAACTTCGACAACGAACTACAAACTGCAAAAACACTTACTTACCGGGCATAATGCACTCACTCACTTGGCACTTCAAATCGTCAACGCGGGCCGGGCTATATGCTACATATGAGCTACATACAGTGCTGGCCACTTGAATAGCGCCCTCTTTTGATCCTCAATATTTACAGTATTCCTTTGGTCATTTAATATTCATTAATTTTTTATAAAAATATAGTATATTCGGCAAAAAAAATCTCTACAATCAACGGTAGTATTTATGCCCTTCAGCAGCCAGAGGAAAACTTTTTAGAGCAGGTAAAAATCGTTTCAAACTCTACCTCGCCAGAGGAGTCAGCGAAAGCGACTCCCAACCGCTAGCCATTACTCCGATTGGCAACAGGAAGGGCCGAAGTGGCGTTGCTGACTGCCAGTAAGATTAAGAGGAACCACTCGGTGAACTGCACATCATCTTCTGTGGAAAACTCCCTCAAACGGAAACCAGGTCCCGCTGACAAAAGTGCCTATATGGGACGAACAGAACCTAGTGCCAATGCAACCCTAAAATTCTTTGGTCCTTAGACCAACTACAAGCCATTCAAGCGGCCATCCTGGTAGAGATGAGACTACAGCGGAAGAGCACTGTGAAGTCCAAGTTTAGTGGATGCACCTTCCGTCCGGGATGGATGTCGATTGGCCGCGGAGACGCTGAAACGCGGGAGAGACTACACGAGATATCCCCAACTTTGAAACCCTGGAAAGGCGCGGAAATTGTTTCCACTGATGTGCCCAAACCTAAGGTCTATGTTTGGTCAGATCAAGGGGCTGCAGGTCGGTAGCAAGAGGATGCTCAACACGGTACAAAAAAGACCTAACCACTTTAGCTGTCGACTCGCACTCAGCGAAGACCATTGACGGGCTGAGATACTTAGTCAGCTACGGATACGGCAAGGTGCGAATCCATAGAAAAAGGAAGACGACTGAGTCATCAGACCGGAAGAGGGCCGCACTTGATAAAGCTGACCTCACCTCCTCTACTACACAAGAAATACCTTGTTGCTCGAGGGACACACCCACGACACTACAAAGTGTACCTGCAGAGCCAGCAGTGGTAGTACAGAAAGTAAAATCCCCTGCTCAGGGGCCTTTAGAGCTCTAGACTGATACACCTTGGGGAGCGATTATCTTCTCCATCCAAAAATTGGAACACGCCAAAGTGCTTAGGGTGACTATATGTAGGGGTTAGCAAAATAGAAATTGGCACTTTAAAACTGCATATTTAAAAAAATTCTAATAATAATTGAATTACACGGTTCAACAAAATTTGGTCGTATTTTATCTCAAAAACGGGGTCACCTCATCTTCTAGATTTTTTTCTGCTGATTTGAAGTGCATTTACAGAATTTTTCTAGCACGTCCAGTTTGGAGAGTTGAGAAAGAAACTGCAAAAATGGCAAATTTCAAAAAATATCTAAAAAATATAATTTGAACGTAGTTCCACTTTTCGAGACCAAATACGACCAAATTTTGTGGAAACGTGTTGTTATTGTACATAAATTTGGTATACACTTCGAAAATAGGGCTCACATGGTTTTTGTCATAGAAAATGCTATATTTTTACAAAAAATGTATGACTAAAAGTTAAGAAGAACTGTCAATACTGGTGATCCAAACAGGGCCAGCACTGTATGTATGTACGTATGTACTACACCTCAAATAAAAGTACTCGTCGCCAATGCCATACCCATTGTATAAACGTCTTAAACATACTTGCCTAGTATTAAGCTACTTTATATCCCCTCCAACACCTTAATAACCGTACACAATCGAATTCTCGTGCTTACTTACTTATGTATTTATTTAAAAATATGTACTCGTATACATCTCTTACTACATAAGTAAGTAACTTATGTTTTGTCACTTTTTAAGCTTTTGTCTAAAATCTTCTTTACACCACTAGCAGATAGCTACGAGTACCTATGAGATTTGCTGCATCTATTTATTTGCTGCAGCAGCCACTACTGCGATTTGTATTGTATCGTTTTATGTATTTCATTTTATTTTTATTAAACACATTCTAAACAAAGAAAAAAACATTGCCCACTTTTGTCTCAATTTATTTTTTTGTATTTTTTTTTTTATATTTCTTTTCAGCGTACTCTATGGCAATAAAATAAAGGATTTGCCCTCAGGCGTATTTAAAGGACTTACATCGCTGCAACTACTCCTGTTGAATGCCAATGAAATCTCTTGCATACGCAAGGACGCTTTTCGCGATTTGCACAGTCTCAGCCTGCTTTCGCTCTACGATAACAACATTCAATCGCTGGCTAATGGCACCTTCGATGCAATGAAGAGCATACAAACACTGTAAGTGCATATTTCAATTCCCCTCCGCCCCCCGACCTTCTATTACAATTCCACCACGCATGCACTGACTGTAAACAACAAAATGTGCAAGCAGCGCGTACCCATATTAATAAAAATGCACTGTAGGCGCGCTGTTTGAGTGTGTGCTTGTAAATACATACATACATATGTTTGTTAGATTGTAGTATACGCGGCGTACTTTCGCAGGAACAAAGGACATGACACCTAGGGCATTTCAACAATATGTCCGCAACAGAGTTGTCTGTAGACAATAATAAAAAGGAAACAAAAAGTGTGAAAAAATGAAGAAAGTACTGTAGAAAATGTATATCTAGACAAAGAAAAAAAAAATGCAACAGAACACAGCACAGTTAGGCATTGTTGCCTTGCGCCCAAGTGAGCAGTTTATCTGCTGGCTGACTTTACATTGAAGTGCGCTTATTTCTTTATTACTTACTGGCATCTTTGTACCCGCAGAGATAGCCTGTTGACTGGTGCAGTGCAACAGTTAGATTTCTAAGAGGTTTTTGTTCTTACAAATGTATGTATGTATGTGGCTAATAGCTAAGTAAAATGTCTCTTAGTACAATGCTTTAATGCGCCTTTTATGGTGGTTGCACACTTTGCACTGAAAAATGTGTATAGAAATTGTTTTAGATTTGAGCGAAAAAAACGCAATGTGTCATAAAAAAAACTTGGCCTTAAAAGATGGTTATCTCATTAAAGCTAAGAGTGATGAAACAAATTATATAGATGTAGATAGAGAGTATTTAAGCTAGGTGAGGTTAGGAGAAAATATTTAAGGTTAGAGGAGTGAATAATTAAGGTTTTTTTAAGGTTCCATTCGATGTAGTATTCAAAAGGTAGGATTGCGAAAGGGTTTCGGTTTGCCATCTCTCACTAGCAAGAAGGAAACTCTGGGGATAAGGAGAAATTGTTCGATCCAATCCAATGCTTTAAAGGAACTGTAGCTGTGAAGCTCTAAACTAATGCTGTTGACCGAGAAAACAAAAATACCACAATGCAAGCTTCCCTCCCTTTTAATGGAACGACTCTCACATTGTCCACCGAGGCGAAATAATTGGGAGTCCTATTAGAAGCCAAACCGAGCTGGAAGACAAATATAGAGAGGCGCGTAGATAGAGCCTACACAGCTTGTTACAGATGCAAAAGAAAATTCAATAGGAACTGGGGATTAAAACCAAAGCTTGTCTTCTGGATGTACATACACGGCTATCATATGGTCAATACTAACTTACGAGGCATTAGTTTGGTGGCCAGCACAAGATAAACAATGCAACGTCAGGAAATTAGGCAGTATACAAAGAGCAGCTTGCGCAGGTGCTACAGGAGCATTTAAATCCTGTCCATCTGTGAGCTTAGTATGATCCTGCCTCAACTGACTCAACAGAATCAGAAAGTCAAGCTGCTGGAGGGCGCTGTAGCACGGTCATAGTGGTATTCTTGACAAGCTTATCGAAATAGGGATACAAACAGACAGACTTCAGCAGGTGAAGTTTCCTTCTAGACGTGATTGGAGTAGGTGTATTTAGGATAGTCGAGGGGAATTCCGCTAAAATCTATACTGACGGGTACAAATGACTTTTGGCATTTGCCTCACCGATAACAATGTGCAAAACAGTCAGAGATTGCAAATGTCCATTAAGCTCGACGGCCGAGTTTCCGAGTTTCACTCAGACTCATCAAAAGGGAACTGTATTTGCAATTCGCACGTATGACTGATGCACGTTGGAACAACCTTCAAACCTGCAAAGCTGCGAGGAACATATGGCCGTATTATGACAAACCAAAGTCAGAAGAACTTCTAAAGGGGTTGATGAGAGATATAGTTAAGTTAAAAGCCACGATAACAGGACATTGGTCCATCGGCGAATACGCAGCCAAAATGAACCTTCCTTATAACTCTCGGTGCCGTAGCTGTAACCTTGAGAAAGGAAACGATCCTACACTATCTTTGCGAGTGCCCAGCATTGGCACGAATAAGGTATGCAAGCCTAAATGGATTCATCATTCATCAGAAAAAAATCAAGAATCCCAGAGAAAGCATATCACAATGATGCTATCAACACTAATTGGGACTTGGGCATGTGCTCAGGCGACGCTTCTACCAATCAAACAACCAACTCTGAAGCTGAAATCTTCTTCGAGACGGGACGGTTTCAACTCGCCTTCCCTCTTAATACTAATTGTGCTGTTTTCTCCCCGGGAGTATTCGTGGATGCCAAGGCAAACAGAAATGAAGAGATTCATTGATTCACAGCCGACTGTCGGATGCATTTTAGCCACGCACGATTCCCTAATCAGTAAAATTTTGTCGTGGAAACACTATGACTACTGGCATAGTCTACAGACCTGCCGGTAGTTTAAAATTTGTCTTGAGGCTTAACGCAATGGCCGGACTAGACTTCTGCTGCCATTAGAAAAACGTGATTTGTGGTTCATGGTTGGTCTAATTAGATGATTAATTTCCTTGAAAGAGTATCTTAAAAGAACTAGTATGAAAGACTCGGATGTGGGTGAAATCTGTTTTGAATGTTACGAGATTGCGTTACATGTGCTTCAACTGCAGTATCCTTACGTAGACCAATCTCACAGAGCCCATCTTAGCGAACCTTCTTCTCTTAACAAAATCGAGGCTTCGCCTAAATGAGCGTCAGTGACTTTGGGAACCTTAGAAGTAGCGGTTGGTCAGCGATAATGAATCGCGGACTAATATGGACTGCTTCACAAAAGGGAGGTCACTTTGCTTAGGTATACTGGGCAAACGTCTAGCTGCCAACAATAGCCAATAAGAAAGCCTATGAGCATTCTAAGCTGGAATTTCTAACTTCATATCACTTAACGATACCGATTACTTTGAATCTCCTATAACCTGTATCCTAGGTTATGTTATCATGGCAGGCCTATTTCAACGTTGAAAGAAGGCATACTGAGGTCGCCAAAGACCCGTTATCGTACCGTAATTGATGCACGCTATATTTATTATATTATATATTCGCCATTAAGAAGTGAACTGTAACAACGCCGATTAGATGTCGAAGCAGTGATCTCAGCAGTTCGAATAGTGGTCCGAAGTTTTCCGTGTTATCCTACACGTCATTCAGATCATCGCCTATTAGTCTGTTGGACAAAGTTATTCTCCAGGTAAAATCCGCAAAATGAAAGCGGAATACGGGAATTCAGAGCGGCACTAATCGTAAACAGCCAAGCAAGTTCCCTTCCTCGCTAGATCACCTGCCATACAGTTGCCTAATACAGCTATGCCCCCAATATTAGATGTATGACGGGCATCCTTGCCTGTTATGTATGTTTATACTTCTTGATTATGTTTGTTGTAGTGCATCGCGTTTCAGTGCTTTAATAGCAGCCTGTCTGTCAGCCTAACAGCTTCCTTTATTGCTGTTAGTTCAGCTTGAAAACCTTGCAGATATCAGGCAATGTAAAACGGTGGTTGAGTAAGAACTCTTGCGAGTATAGCTCAGTTCTCATCTTGAGGTCTAATAATAAGCATTCGGGTTTAATTGGCCGCAAAATGAGGATACAGGTTAAATATTAGTTTATATTCCAAATCGCTTCTAGAGGGGATCCACACTTAGGTCTCTAGGACTTGGTGACAGGTGATCGCAAGGGATCCTGATACAGACTTGGCAGATCGGACGCTGGTATACAAAGCTCTGGACTGAACGCTCGCGGTTGACTTGAGAGGGGTCCCTATCAATTTCGCAAATAAGTATTACTTCATATTTTTCCGTGATTAGATACCTACTGTGTAGACTATTTAATATGGACAGCAGTATATAGGTGAGATTTTGGGACACTTTGTATCGTTTCCTTGACCGAACAGGCAAAATCCACACAAATTTTTGCACTAACTACTATATTGTAATTAAAATAGGGTTTTATTATTGAAACTCAAAAAAATTACAAAAATATTATTTGCACTCTTATGTAACAAATTATTTCAATTTCATGTAATGCAAAAAGTGATGATTCTTTTCTAGCATTCACTGCTATGATAGCACAAGCGAAGGTTAACTCATTGAGTGGCTGTGGCTGCCTTTTGGTTTAGTGCTTCCACTTAGTACTTGCATTAGCCTTTCACTACTTATGCTTATACGACGTACTCAGAATTATTTATCTACATACATACATACATACATACATAAATTTGTACAATCGCAAGCGTGTAGGAATGTAATTTTTTTTTTTTTATTCTGACATATATGACACCTACGAACACTTGTAATTCCTTTTGAAAATGAAATCTTTTTGTTAACTACTACTCGTAAGAACTTCTTCTTGCTCACATTTTAAGTATTTGCTTTTTTCGTAATATAAATATGTACGTATTTTTTTATATATACATTTCTTACAAAACCAAAGGCATCTGGCAAAGAATCCCTTCATTTGTGACTGCAATCTTCGCTGGTTGGCTGATTACTTGCACAAAAACCCCATCGAGACAAGTGGCGCACGCTGCGAAGCCCCAAAGCGAATGCATCGACGGCGCATTGAGTCGTTGCGTGAGGAGAAATTCAAATGTAAGTATCTTTGAAAGGCAAAAAAATAAAAACAAAAAAATGAAGATGAGTAGCAAAAATTCAAGATCTGCATATCTACCTTCCTTTATGCAAACAATGTGGAATGGTGTCCTCGGTGATGGACACACGCAAAGAGTTGGTATTTACTATAAAAAAAGTATAAAAAACAACTAACACTGCAAGAGGAAAGAAGAAATTAAAAGCTTACATATTCTTCAGAGAAGGCACAAGAAGATTATTTTTTTTTATTCACAAAAGAACATACATATGTAGTTTTCAAAGAGATACTAATAATGGGCCGTATTCATATGTAGTGAGTTGCAGCTTTTGGACATATTTTTCTGTCAAAAAAGCTGCAACCAACAATAAATATACCCCAATATTTTTCATGAAATTTAAATTTATATATATATATTTTATTATTTTAACAATACTAATTGAGTTATTTTACAAGCTAGCAGACGACAATAATACTTTGTCTATTAAATTGAAAAAATAACATTTTTGAAGTTATAAAATTCTTATTTTTTTAATGTTATAAAACAAATATTTTTTCTAGACTTTACAATTTTTATGTTCCTTAACCTTATTAGTTTTATATTCTCTTATAGAATAAAATTTTATTTTTATAAATAGATACACTAAAAATGTTGAAAAATTCTAAAAAAAAATTATCCAAAATAATTGAAACAAGATAAAAGAAAATATAATAAAATAAAAAAAGTAAAAATATTTAAATAACGAATTACGATAAACTAAAAAACAAAACATATTAAAATAAATTAATTGGAATTGGAAAAAACTTGATTGAAAAGAAATAACATAAAATAAAAGTTTAAAAAATGTAATTGACTATAACACTACAAGGACATACATTGAATAAAATAAAATCAAGCAAAAAATAAATATTTTTAAATAAAATTAAATTAAAAAAATATAACATTAAATTAAGTAAAAAAATTTAATTAGTAGATGAGCGATATTCAAATTAAATAAAATAAAAAACTAAAAGAAATAAAGAAAAAATATAAGTAAAGCAGAAGAAATATGAGTAAAAGAGAATCGCATGCAATTAAATTAAACTAAACAAACCAACATAAAATAAAAAAATTGTTCAAGTGAAATATGATATAATAAAAAATTACGCTAAATTAAATAATAAACAATTAAATAGTACCCTTTCATTTTAATTAACTGAAAAATTAACAATTAACTATATTAAAGAATTAAATAAAACAAAACAACACATACAAATTTTAATAAAATAGTAAAACAAATTAAACAATGCAAGATAAAAAATAAATAAAAAATTATAGTTATATTAAAAAATTAAATGTAATCAAATAAATAAATAAAATGTAATAAATATTTAAAAAAGTTACAAAAAAGATGAATTGAAATAAAAAAATAAAAACAAAAAATTAAATAAAAATAAAAAAATAAAACATTTAAAATAAGAAAATTAAAATTAAATAAAACTAAATTAAATTAAAAATTAAGTTAAAAAATTTTATGATATGAAAAAACTAAACAAAAAATTATTGAATTTAAATTAAATTAAATAAAGAAGACAAAAATTGAAAAATTAATTCAAATGAAAGTAAAAAAAAAATCGAACTTGCGTAGTTTCTCGTGAGAATATAATATGCATATCTATATGCATTAGACCCTACCACCTTACAATAAAACAAAAAAAGTTTCCCGTTTACTCCTGAATCTAAAGTTTTGTGCAAGGGAATTTCGAGAAAATATTATTTTTTTTTGCCAAACTTAGGGGTCGCTTTTTTACATTTTTACTTGGCAAAACATTAAGGGTTTTTCGAGAGCTTTAGTTTACTGATATTAGGGTGGTATATTACGGTGGCGGGAACTTAGATCTGGTGGATGAGTGCTAGAATAGGGTACCACAGATCAATTATCTTAAGAACAATAAAATGTCTCCTCGAAGCAGGATAATTGGTATATCATACATTAAGATGCGACTGTTTTAAAACATATTTGAAATTTAAAACTTAAACGCATCTAAAAAGTACTTTGTTTTGAGTATACGTAGGCTAAATGAGCGAGATGTAAATGAGCAATATTAATAACTATAGTTTTTAAACTGATCTTTTTCGCCTAAAACAATGCTTCTTAGCATGAAATATATTTCAATGGTATACCATTTGCGAAGCATTGCATAAATAGTACGCGTGCTACTTTTTTCATTCATATATTACATCTTTGAATTTTACTTATTAATTTACCGCTCCTCACTCTTTTTGCCTTTCACTCCATTTCAGGCTCATGGGACGATATGCGTATAAAATTGTCGAGCGAATGTCGCGCAGATGTCGATTGCCCGGCAATGTGTCAGTGCGATGGTACTTCAATTGATTGCTCAGGTCGTGGCCTTAAAGAAATTCCACGCGATATACCGCTACATACCACTGAACTGTAAGTATGCATATACTCGTACGTATGCATGTACACAAAATTGTGCTTTCATTTTTCTTTTGATTATTTACTACCAAATATGCAATTGCATTGATTTAATTGACCTAAAATGTTGGCATTTTTTCCATTTTACTCATTTCATTTATGCTTTCACTCTTTCTTTCACGCTTGCAGACTCTTAAACGACAATGAGCTGGGGCGCATCAAATCCGATGGTCTCTTTGGACGTCTGCCACATCTGGTTAAACTCGATTTGCGACGCAATCATATAACCGGCATTGAACCGAATGCCTTTGAGGGTGCAAATCGCATACAAGAATTAGTTATGGCTGAAAATAAAATTCGAGAGATTTCGAATAAAATGTTTTTGGGTTTACATCAACTGAAAACACTGTAAGTACTAGAGGCGGGGGAGGTTATGATAATTAATTTAAGTAATTTTTTAAATATTACGACGAATCACATAAGTAATATACTACATATGTACATGAAATGGCAAATAGTAGGTATTTTTGGTACATACTTATTCGTCATGAAGTTGTCTCATAAAAAAAAATTCAAAACATGCATGGGATACAAAACTGCATACTCAAAAAAAAAATTAAGTTTGCAAATATTTTGAATTATCTATTTTAAATTTTGTATAAAGTTTGAAAAACGAATTTTCGTGGGTTTTGTTATAGAATATGCTATGGTTTTATAGAAAATTATGAATATTAAATAAACAAAAGGAAAACTGTCAATCATAAGGGGGCGCCATTCAAATGGCTGGCATTGTATATATGTACATTAGACTGCATCACCAAAAAAAAGTTGCGGTTTTTCCTTCTAAAACTATTCTGATTTAGACTTAAGGGGTCTCAGTAGAAAGGCATTTTCCCACTATTTTTATTTCTGTGCAAAAAAAGTCATTTATGTCCCAATATTTTTTTTTTTCAAATATCAACACATCTTAATTCAACTCGGAAAGACGCTCGTTCTCCTACCTTTCTTTTTCATGCTTTTAATGACTTTATTAGCAAAGAAGTAAAGTGAGAAAATTCATTTCCAATGATACCTCACAAGTCTAAATCGGAATAGTTTAGGTACAGTTATTCAAGTTTTTCTTATACCATTCTTTGAAAAAAGTTAAAAAACAGCGTCAAAAACCTCATTAATACGATTTCTTTGAACATTTAAAAATTTTTGTTTTTTTATTATTAAGCAAATTTTTTAAGCGTAACCGTTGTCATTTGAGGGGATTTTTTTTTTAATCTTTAAGAAACTATTTTTATTCATAAAAAGCTCCATTTTTGGAGGTATTTTCAAATCGGTTCAGCTCACGTAAATCTTAATATTTTTCCGAAATATTTTGGTGGATGTCTTAAAATATAATAGATTTTATAATTCCAATGGAAACAAAGTACTGATTTTTTTTTTTTATATGGGGAGTGATGCAATCTAATGTACATACATATGTATAATTAAACTTAATAATCACTCTGCCACTTTAAATCAATTGTAATACAATTTCAATTCATTTGTTTTCTCCATTGACGTTTCATTAATCTTTTCAGGAATCTTTATAACAATCAAATTTCTTGTGTGATGCCTGGTTCATTTGAATTCCTGTCATCGCTCACCTCGCTGTAAGTACATATGTATATATACACACAGAAATTAGATAAATTACTGAAAATTCTGTTTGCCACAAAATTATGTTATGGTCCATACATCCTGCACATCAGCGAAAGCATACACACATATGCATACGAAAGTACATACAAAAACTTTGCGGCAAGTGCAGCTAAAATTCAACAGGCACTGGCATATTTAGTGCATTTTGTAAAAGAGTTGTTGCAAACATACAGACATTTCTATAGATCACTTTGTATCTAGTAAATATGTTTGTAGGCATTTATTTATTGAGTAGAACGCAGTGAGATTTCAAAAAAAAATCTATACGTATAACTAAGTATGTAGGTATGTACATATGTATGTAGTTTATAGACACATTCATATTTATCGTACCAAATGCGTAATTAATTGCTTCTTCATTGTATAAATTGAGTAAATTGCGTACGGAGAAGTTTTTATCAAAGAAATGGGGTTAATGGGTTTGATTGTTATGGCTGAACTTCACAGCATACGCACGCTCGTGCACTCACCGCTTTTATATGTACATACATATACTCAAGTAACGCTACCGGGTGCAAACGCAGAAAAAATGCACATGCTCCTATTTAGAATAAATGTATGTATGTGTGTATGTACATAATTCAGTTGTACTGTTTACTCAAACTGAAATTGAAAATACCGCGCTAGTAGAGTGCGTTGGAAGCGTAAAAGAACAAGTAATTTAATTGAACTCCAATTTATGGTCGCCACAATAGACAGACAGACAGACAGACAGACAGAGGAGAGGTGGATGCACATATGTGTATGTATGTATGAGTGCATGTTCCATATTCTCTATGGTCATATGTGCACTCTGATATGCAGCACCATCGTGCCTACTGCGATAACGACAAATAGCCTGGTACTGATGTTACCACCTTGTGTACATTATTACCATGTCCAGACTTCTCATACCACCCCCAAGGGCTGATGTTACAGCTCCTATTGCTGTGATCGACTTGCAATATGTTGATGCTGCTGCTGCTGCTGCTGCTACACTTCCCTTTGTGTTGCTTTTGTCGATTCGATGATTTAAGTGCCAAGCTCAGGCGACGCGCAGTAGGTACAAGTGAATGATAGATACATATTTATGTGCATTAGGGTGGTTCATTTTTTTCCAGCCACCCCCCCCAGAACTGGAAAATATCGAGAATACGGAAATCCGTAATTTTTAGTTTATAACAATTCAACGAATTTTTCCCCCCATATAAAATATATGGATCACTTTAAAGCGCCGGCGGCACGGTTAAATATTAACTGACTTCCAAACTCCGATTTTTCCATTTTCTATACTATTTCTTTTTGGGCCACCCTAATGTCCATGCATATACGTACATACTGCATACCCAGCAAACATTTTCAATTGTAAATGAATCCTCCGCTATCCGCTATTCAGGAAATTTCAATCGGAAACGACGACCAAAATCTTTTTTGATCGCGGAAGAATTGTTAATTCTAAGCATCTTGCTGAGAGTCTTCAAGAGACTTATAGGCGAGTCGTTTTTAAAAGTATTTCATTGTTGTTGTTGTAACAGCATGAAAATTCCCCAAAGAATTTCAGGGACTCAGCTGGGGTGATAGTCTACAGCCCCATATAGATCTGGGTCACTTGTCTATCGAGACTGTTGTTGGCTATCTTGTGGGCTCGTCTTTTCTTTATTTTTGATTGCCGCTATAATCACTTAAGCGATTTCGGCCGAGTTCAACATAGCAGCCATTCCTTCTTTTCGCTTGCTGGCGCCTATTAGAAACGCCGTGAAATGCCTGATTCTTCCAACACAGAGAAGGCCTTCCTCTTCCTCTACTACCACCAGCGGGTACCGCATCGAATACCGTCAGGGCTGAAGCATTTGCATCCATTCGTACAAGATGGCCTAGAAACCGCTGTATTTTGATTTGCTGAATATCTTCTGTAGAATCTTTCTCTCTTCATACTCCTTTTTCATATTTCACACTTCATATTTCTCGCTCAGCGCCATGATAGGATACCTCGGCTTTCAATTACTACATAGCTCCACTGCGAAACTGGGTTATTCCGATTCACCTGTGGCGTTACTTTGGCCAATGCATCTTGGATCCATTGGCTCTTGCAATTTTTGACTTTTTTTCTCATTTTAATCTTTGTATTTTTCCTACGATCTGCCGATCGTTTGCTACCTCGGCGTCCAGGCTCCGCACGTCTTGATTTTCCTCGGTGTCATTACTGCAGCTTCCTTCCCCGTTTGTAGGCACTTAGGAAACCTGCGATTTTCTGTACAATTTGATGTCGAAATTAGGAATAATAGCTCTCTTCCACATTCATAAAGGAGGACTTCAGGACCGAGTCCTCCGTTATCTGCAAGGTGGCTTGACAACGAGAATTCCCGAAGCGGAACGTCGGTTTTGTTAGGTGGCTTTATGCAGTGTGTCCCATTGAAGCCCTTTGCCCAAGCACCGGTCATCTATAGGCTCGTCAAAAGGGCTCTGGGGTATAGGAGACTCGTTGATCACCTGCAGCGAAAAAATCCCCATACATTGTTCGCATAGAGGAGGGCATACAGCATAGTCCTCAGCGCAGATCGTATGATATATTCATCTGGCTGATTGGGTAGCTTGAAGTAAATCTACAAAGCATGCGAGTGAATTTTTCCTATTACGTAAAAATGTTTAGTACTTTAGTATCTACATACATACAAGTGTACCTTAGTGCCTACATACTATGTATGTATGTATGTTGGTGTATATATTAGTATGTATGGAAGCACTTGACGCACAGAATCACCCTAATTTGATTTGCACAATGAAACAGCTACTCATCGCATACAATACCTTCAAACACTCTGCTCTTCCTCAGTGCACAACTAACTACAATACGTGTACTTCTATGTGCATACGAGTATTTAAATTTCTACGACTTTACATATAAACAACCGTGTAAACCTCTATAAAAGTTTCCTTCGAATGTTGGTAGATGATTGAATATAGGAGTCCATACTCAGACTTTCATTTCACTCATACAGATATGTATGTATAAGTAAAAACGTTAGTAAGCAATGAATTTGTCTAAAATACTAAGTAGTGTGGAGGGTAGTGCAGACACAGCTCACAGTTTCACAATTGTCAGTGAAGGAAACCTGTGCAATACTATTGCCGTGTTTTACTAAGTGTAGCATATTCGGAGGCGCAAATTGATTTAAATTGCGACAGATTCTAAAATTGTTGCGATCTTAAATTTCTTAAAGTCTTGTCTTATCTTATCCAATCAACATATTTTTAAGCAGATTAGTTTGTGTCTTTTCATTTGGAATCACTTGCGCTGTCCCTAAAGGAGGCATATCTAAAACTTATCTTGCGGGAGAAGCTTATTAGAGCTTTTTATATGTTTTATATCAGCGATAGGCAAAGCTTTTTCTCTGCACGCGTCAATAAACAAATGTACAGAAAGCTCAAAAAATACCTATCCGAGGTGATCAGCGGCTGATTCCGAATAATTAAATTACACTATATGGAAGCTAAAATGCCTTTAATATAAATGAAAAAAATTTGGTATTTTTTAATTTTTACCTTGTTAAAGTTTGATTTTTTTATAAGAATGAAAATATCTTGGGAAAATTACCTGTTCTGAAAAAACGGTATACAGATCCATAGTCTACAACCCAAATTTAAGTTCAAGTGTTTCGGCGTTTTTTTTTTGTCTCATTTCAAAGCCTGAGATTTTCTCTACAGCCAAACTCTGTTATTATTCAAGCCCTACTTTATTTTTTAAATTTTTGTTTGGCTAGGCTTGAATCACTTTTGGTAGGAAATATGTAGCTGAAGAGTTCACCGAGTTCTCACCAGGCTAACAGTTATATGTAAAATGTAAATGCAAAAAATTTGTGTTAAAAAGTTTTTTTTTGTTACTAAAATCCGAATATCCGGATATCCGATTAATATTACGTCATTTCTTTATCCGGATATTCAGTTCATATCTCTTAATTTTTTATCCGGATATCCAGTGTCCGTTCCATTTTGTTATCCGAATATTCTGATTTTGATTCAAATATTCAAACTACCAGCCCTATTTATGCTCTTAAATTTACTTCGATGCGTATATACTTCTGTGTAACACTGTAGCCACAGGAGCAATAAAAGCTAGCTACATGCTTTAGTACCAAAACCGTAAAATACAATAGAACATCCCAACACGACTTAAACCACATATGTACGTTAGTACATACATACATATGTACGTGCATATGTACATATGTACCTTAGGGTGGTTCTTAAAATCAAATGATCGATTTTTACAGTCTCACCCCTTAATCGGTAATACCACGTCACAGATATCACATATAAATTTTGACCCCGATTGGAGAAGGTTAAGACGTGTCGCACAGGGGGCAAAGTACATATTCCTCTATAGAGACTAAAAAAATTAAAACTAATTTTTTTTTCATATAATACCCAAAATGGATAGTCGAAACCATAGTCGAAGATATCACATTGAAATTTTGGTTACGATTGGAGTCGGTTAAGGCGTGTCGCCAAGAGTCAAAGGCCAGATTCTTCTATGGGCTCAAAAAATTTAAAATTAGGTCGTTCACGCTTACCCGGTTATCAGGTTATGTGGTGATGTTTTTCATTCAGTTTACAACAATAAAATACACTACACCAAAATAATTTTTAACCAGATAACCAGGCAAGTGTGAACAACCTCAATGTTGTACAAATTTTCTTCCTACATTTAAGGACCACCGTAATGTACCTATCAGACTTTACCAATATTGCACTCTAAAAACCACTACGACAATTCATTTCCACCACTTGACTTTTTTCCACAGTTTTTTCCCCTTACTTATTTGCATTTCCACATCTCTATGCAAACTTACACATACATACATACATATGCATAGAAATGCACTCATAATACATACAATACATTCATACCTATAAATGCCAACATTTCAATTCACACTTTACACTATTTTCCACTTTCCTATTTTTTCCATAGAAACTTGGCTGCCAATCCATTCAATTGCAACTGTCATTTGGCCTGGTTTTCCGAGTGGCTACGAAAGAAGGGTCTGATCGGCGGTGCGGCACGTTGTGCTGCCCCCTCGAAAGTACGTGATATGCAAATTAAGGATCTGCCACATAACGAGTTCAAATGCACATCCGACAACAATGAAGGCTGTTTGGGCGATGGCTACTGTCCGCCCGCCTGCACTTGCACCGGCACCGTAGTACGTTGTTCGCGCAATCAATTAAAAGAGATACCACGTGGCATACCGGCGGAAACGTCCGAGTTATATCTGGAATCGAATGAAATAACAATGATACATTTAGATCGGATACGACATTTGAAATCCTTGACGAGATTGTAAGTGCAGCAAAGTTGAAGGATGATGAGTATGTATGTATGTATGAGTGGGTGAATGGGGCAGAAAGAAGCGAAGAAGATTGAATGTGCAGTAAAAACAAAAAGCGCATCTCGCTTTTGAAAACTTATGTTACTAATTCGTGCTTTTTGTTTCGGCCATTTTTTCTTCATATTTTTATTTTTTTGCTTTCTTTTTTTCGTTACAGAGATTTGAGCAACAATCAAATCACGTTCCTCTCTAATTACACCTTCGCCAACCTGACGAATCTGTCGACGCTGTAAGTAGAAGCAATAAATAACATTTAATTTTTTTCTAGCAGCGATAGTGAAGATTTTGCACAATGCAGGGATTTAAATGAATGTGCATCTAGTCGGGCGCAACATAAGGCGCTTTTGTCCTTTTAACAATGAGTTTTTATTGCGCCGTACATTTCTTCTTCTTATACGGTTATAAAATCGTATTAGGGTCGAGACCAAAAAAGCTTTGTCATAAGCTCCACCAAATCGTTGCCTGGATAAAAGATTATCGTATGTTACTTTCGGCAGGTTTTGATAAATCGCGATTGAAGTTTGGAGTGCAAAAAAAAAATGCGCTAAGTAGGGTCTCCCATGAAGGTTCACTTTTTAGGCCTGAAGAATCATTCACTTTCTTGACAAGTCTTTTTTAATCTTCCAATCTCATTTGAACTTTCAGTATAGCCGAAGAACTTTGTTATGAGCGCAATTTTAAGAGGTCGCAAGTAACTAAGGCCCCGCTAAGGATCTATGACTATTGATGACTATTCTCTATTAGCTGAGATACTTGAAGTAATTTCCAAGTCGTTTCTCTCATAGAAGGACCCTTCATTCTATTTCGACCTGCTCAGATACATATATTCGCATTTACGTTACAAGATCGATCAATGGAAATGTCACGTAAAGAATACTTCATAAGACTGCGTTTGGCTTCTTTTTAGATCAGCGAGCACCGATAGACACCTAGCATTTTATCCAAAATTTTCTACTTTTGCGAGTGTGATATCTGACTTCAATGGTTTTCTTAATTTCAGCATCATTTCGTATAACAACTTGCAATGTCTGCAACGCTACGCCTTAGCCGGTCTGCAAAATCTGCGTGTACTCTCGTTGCATGGCAATCGTATATCAATGCTGCCGGAAGGTTCATTCGAAGACATGAAATCGCTAACACACATGTAAGTGAACTTTGTAATTACCGTAAATTCATATACCACAAACCACTTCCTTTCCATGTCTACAGTGCGCTTGGCAGCAATCCACTCTACTGCGATTGCTCGCTCAAATGGTTCTCAGACTGGATCAAATTGGACTATGTGGAGCCGGGTATAGCACGTTGCGCCGAACCCGATTACATGAAAGACAAACTGATACTCTCGACGCCCTCACACAATTTTATGTGCAAAGGCAAAGTTAGCAATGAGATAATGGCCAAATGTGACGCCTGCTATACGCATCCATGCGAGAACAAGGCACAATGCATACCACTGCCACAGCGCGACTACCAATGCCTCTGCCAGCCGGGCTATCACGGTAAACATTGTGAATTCATGATCGACGCCTGCTATGGCAATCCATGCCGCAACAATGCCACCTGCACTGTGCTGGAAGAGGGACGTTTCAGCTGTCAATGTGCGCCTGGCTATACTGGAGCGCGTTGTGAAACGAACATTGACGATTGCCTGGGTGAGACCAAGTGTCAGAATAATGCAACCTGTGTGGATGGTGTGGAATCGTATACGTGTGAATGTCAACCGGGTTTTACTGGTATGTATGGCTTGAAGGTGGTAGCTCACTACTTAGATATAAGTATGCACATTTTTTTTCTCTCTCCCAACAGGCCAATACTGCGACACAAAGATCAATTTTTGCAGTGACGAATTCAATCCATGTGCAAATGGCGCCAAGTGTCACGACCACTTTACGCACTACACCTGCGAGTGCATGGCCGGTTTCCATGGCATCAATTGCACACAAAACATTGACGATTGCCAGAATCATATTTGCCAAAATGGCGGCACCTGCATAGATGGCATCAACGATTATGTGTGCAAGTGTCCGGATGATTTCACGGGCAAATACTGTGAGGGTCACAATATGGTCTCGATGATGTATCCGCAGACATCACCTTGCCAGAATCACGAATGCAAACATGGCGTTTGCTTCCAGCCGAACCCCTCGGGCTCCGATTACTTGTGCAAATGTCATCCTGGTTACACCGGCAAGTGGTGCGAATACTTGACGAGCATTAGCTTTGTGCATAACAATTCCTTTGTGGAAATGGAGCCTTTGCGCACCAAGCCAGATGCGAATGTAACGATCGTTTTTAGCAGTTCAGAGCAAAATGGCATACTGATGTATGATGGACAGGATGCGCACATAGCTGTTGAATTGTTCAATGGACGCATACGCGTAAGCTATGATGTGGGCAATTATCCAGTCTCCACAATGTATAGCTTCGAAATGGTGGCCGATGGTAAATATCATTGCGTGGAGTTGTTGGCTATTAAGAAAAATTTCACATTGCGCGTCGATCGCGGACTGGCAAGATCGATTATAAATGAAGGCTCCAATGATTTTCTCAAATTGACTACACCAATGTTTTTGGGCGGCTTGCCACCAGAACCGGGACAGCAGGCGTATAAGAATTGGCAAATTCGGAATTTGACCAGCTTCAAGGGCTGCATGAAGGAGGTGTGGATAAATCGCAAGCTGGTTGACTTTGAAAATGCAGCAAGGCAGCAAAAGATTACACCCGGCTGTGCATTGCTTGAAGGTGAAGCGGCGGAGGATGACGAACAGGACTTTATGGACGAAACACCGCACATCAAAGAGGTACGTAGAAAAGTCGGGAATTGAATTTAAAATTAGAAATGCATACCTAACATTTTACATTTGTATACACCCAGGTGGATCCTTGCGAAAATCACAAGTGTCGCCGCGGCAGCCGCTGTGTGCCTAATTCCACATACCGCGACGGCTATCAATGCAAGTGCAAGCAGGGTCAGAAGGGCCGCTACTGCGAACAAGGTGAGGGCACAACAGAGCCCGCATCAATAACTGGTATTAATCATATTCTTCATTCATACAACGTTTAGTGGTTTTCATGAGCATAAGTATTAACATACACATACTATGCAAAACCACATTCATTAAAATCATTTTATTAAAATACTTGGTATTGCATGCTGATTTTTTTTTTAATATTGAATTCTATAATAAATAACTGCATCTCTTACATATCTGGAGAACTTGAAACTTTAGCTTGATTGTTCATATTTATGTAAAATATTTTATTTCAATCTCTAATTTGAAACAAAAAGCGCCGAAACACGAAAACTTAATATTGGGTCGTAGATTATAAATCTGTATGCCATTTATCCAGATTAGGTCATTTTCTAATGCCGAATTTCCACTGCGCATTGAAATGACAGAAATATGTATGCCATTTAAAAAAATTCCATGTGGAAATGAACTTAATGACAATTTTTTAACGTAATGACACGATTATTTTTGAATGCCCAACTATGTAATTTTTGCCATTTAATGCCTAGTGGAAATCCAGCATAAGATTTTTCATTTGTATGAAATAAAGTCAAACTTCACCAAGGAAAAAAATTGTATTTTTTCCATTTGTAGTAAAGCTTGTTCTTTCTTTCTTGTTCAAGTTTTGAATGGTCAAACGAAAATGTGCAATAATTTGTTGTTGAAATATGAGCACGAAATAATGTTACCCATACGCCACGTCATACCTAGCCGTACTCGTACATATTCGTACATAGTGCATGAGTAACATTTTCCAGGCTAAAGTTGGATTTTTTTCAATCAATGCAAACTTTAAATGTAAATATCTTTGAAAAATTACCTGATCTAGAAAACCGATGTACAGATCCGTTATCTACGATCCAAAATTAAGTTTACGTGTCTCGGCGTTTTTTTGTATCATTTTAGCGTACCTACACTGTATTTTATATATTTATAGGTATTTTATATATTTAAATATTTGTATTAAGACTATTCTATTTCTTAAAACCCTTCCTTTCTTTCTTAAAAAAACAAAAAAAAACCTTTTTGCCTTTTTTAATTTACTCATCTCTATTTTTTAAATTTTCAGTAACCTCCACTTGTCGAAAGGAACAGGTACGCGAATATTATACCGAAAACGATTGTCGATCGCGTCAGCCACTCAAATATGCGAAATGTGTGGGCGGTTGCGGAAATCAGTGCTGTGCCGCGAAAATTGTACGGAGACGAAAGGTAAGAGCAGTTCTATTCAAAATATTACAGGACAACAAAATTCAAAGGTTAGCTCTTTTTAACCGACTTCAAGAAAAGAAAGAGGTTATCGATTCATCGTAATATATGTATATATATATTTTTTAAGTACGTTACCGCATAACTTTGGACCATGTTAACAGATTTCTATAATTATTTTTTAGAGGAAAGTAGTACCTCAGAGATGGTCCCATAGTAATTTGGTTTAGATCCGGAAATTGGATCATTATTATTATTTTTTTCTTAAAACTTGCTTGTTTCTCTTTGATATAAATACGTATATACAAAAAAACCGAACTAGTCAACTCTTAACAGTTTTGGCCCGATGAATCCAATAAAGTCGGTACCCTTTAGTGGATTCCATATTTCTTTCTAACCTCACAAAGCGTACAGTAAATAAACCGAAACAGCATGAGTTTTTGAGGTTTGGATCGACAATATTGAATTGAAGGAAAACATTTTGTTTCTATCAAAAACAAATAAAAAAAAAGGTGGTGCAAGTTTAGTATAAAATTAAGTGGGGTTAATAGATTTAGGTTAAGGGTGCAATTGAGTTGCCTTATCTCTGTAATTACCAATTCGAAATAGGTTTTTTTATTTGAAGCTCAATTACATTCCCCATACAAAATATTTACAGTAATCTTTGTAAAAGTAGTCAAGTAGGTGACTGGTTTATACATTTTTATTGAGTCGACTAAAACTAAAAGAGAATTGAGGCTTTACCTGGGATTCCTTCTTCCCTATCGCTCATGGCCCCAGTTTTCTTTGACTAATATAAAGATGTTTAAAGGCTTCAGCCGCGAACTTTTATGCTTATATTATCCTTCAAAGAGATTGGCAATAGTTATCAGTAGAGAATCGAGTTTTCGTTATGAGTGGGCTTTTGGAAACAAGCGCCCCCACCACCCTCCCATTTTATCTGACCCAAGGTTATCTAACCTTACTAACTGGCGGCTAACAGCGGCCTCGTCGTCAATCCTAGCAGGTCCGTACTAGCATTATTCCTTAGAAAGTACACGAACCCCATTGCAACTATTCCTTCCATTGGAGGTGTTCGATTTTCTGACAAGGTCAAGTTCTCGGTCCTGCTCCTAGATAGGAAACTGTCACGGAGGTGCAAATCGTACCCTAAACGTGTGAATGCACAAATACTTTTCCTTCTCCCAATCACGAAAAACAATTTGTTCAACTTTTTCAATAGAATTTTGCTGTACTGTACCGTCCAATATAAAATATGTACAAATCTGTACAAATGTACAATCGTGTGACACTGCCTTTACTTTCAACTACCTTACTAGAAGCATACTATAAAATAATTATCAAATTTTTAAAGCAAAACTGAAGCAATTACTGATGTCAATATTTTATCTATGTACGTATTTCACAGGTTCGCATGGTGTGCAGCAATAATCGCAAATATATCAAAAATTTAGATATCGTGCGTAAATGTGGATGTACAAAGAAATGCTACTGACTGGAAGATGCGACTACCCAATTGCACAAAGTTAGCTTAGATTTAAATTTAGGACAGCATAGTAGTAATAATTTTAATAATAATAATAATAATAACAGTAATTTAAGTACTAGCTCTAGTTATAGCAACGATAATGAATGTATATTTAACTGTAGCAACACGAAAGATTTACTAATATTCAATAGTAACACTAACAATAACAACACTAAAACGGGGAGAAAAATGATGGTCGCGCAAGAGAAAAAGACTGCGGATGAGATTGTAGAGAGTGAAAGAGTGCGGAGCATCAATATCACAAATAGTGGGTTGAAAGTAGAACCGGTGAGACCACACGAACGCGATGACATTATGTACAATGCGGAGGAGGAATTAAGGCAAACAACAGCCGGCGGGTTGAGGGTAACAGGTGGTGGTGGCATATTGGTGGATGAAGGTCCAAGTTATGAGACTGATGAGCACAGCACAGCAACAGGAGCGCAGGAGCGTATGCAATTGAATCCCAGTGGAGAGAGCGATGATGGTTGGGACGATGAATACGATGACGGTGACGAAGGAGATGAAGATGAAAAGGACGGTGAGGGCGATGAGGATGCGTATGATGATGAAGACGACGAAGATTTCGATGTGGAAGCGTCTTCAGCTGATGCAACAGCGCAAGCGCACATACAAGACCGCGCATTCGAATCGTTGCCGGAGGCAAAGGGTCTGGTGCAATCGCTGGTGGGCGATGAAAACGAAGCTGTGAAACATATGCCGGACGTATTGCGAGCGAAAAGCATTACGCACACTGCGAGCATCGCCACAGCGAACGTTGACGAGGAGGAGGAGGAAGATATGGGTTTTGACGAGGATGACGAACGTATTGCCATTATTGTGGAGAAGCAACGTGGTGGCAGTGTAAATGACAACGATAAGGGCTTCATGAACGAGGAGGGCAGTGGCGCTAGTGGTGGCGGCGCCTACAGGCGAACCGACACAAATAGGTACAAAAATAGTAGATTTAGATTAGATTACCTAGAGAAATATCGGAGAAAACAGCAAAATCTGCAATCGGAACATACGAATAGGGGCGTAGCCGATTCGCGCGAAGGCAGCGGCAATTTTGCCAACGATGATGATGATGACGATGATGATGATAGCGATGATGGTGTCCACGACGATGATGATGACAACGTTGACGATGATGTAGCCATCCGTCTCGGTGTTAACGATGATGCCGACCGTCAAGAAGGTGATGGTTATTTTAATTCGAAACATACTAAATCGAGCAATCGATATTTCCGTAAGAATACGAATGACGCAATTAAAATAATCTCAACACCGCTGGGCAAGGTCGGCATTGTTTATCAACAAACGCCGACAAATGAGGATGGCAACAGCAACGGCAACATTAAAAAACAGGATACACTTGGCGACAAAAAGACAAGCTCGTTCACCGACTTTGATGCACTGTCGCCAGATCCTGAGAGCAGTCATCGCTTAGCATCATCTCATCCGAAAATTACGCCAGTCTTGACACCCGATGGCAAGGTTGCACTGCTTTATCGCGGCGATTCGGAGAATTCCAAATACGAGCCGATACGCAATTTAACACATAAATTTAATAATAATAATAATAAAAACGACTTTACGGACAATAAAGCAACTGGCAGTGGTACAATTTCTAAAGATACGCCTGATTTTCCGAACAACGATGGCAGCGAAGACGAGTCGGCCGACGAGTCGGAAGACGACTACGACCTGGACAATGACAGCAATAGCAGCAGCAGCGATCGATTACAAACGAATTTACGCAAAACCAATACAGCCAACCCAACAGATGAGACACAGAAAGCCGCCATTCAAAATCCCGACACCGATGCCGAAACGCCAGCCGCTGGTGCAGGCGGCTCCTCATTCATCATACGCCCCACCGATTCCGTACTGCCCATGATAAATCGCCCACTCTCCGAGGTGCTCGGCATAAAGAAGAATCAGTTCAAGCAATTCCGCATCAAAGACATTCCCACTACGCCACCAAATGCTGCGGGCGCCGGCGCCGAATCGGTCGGCGATCCACGCTCACTAGCTGGCACATCAATCGACCGCGCAATCGATACAACGACACTACACTTCCTAACAAAAGTCAATTTAGCCGAATATCCAACATCGATGAAAACGCGAAACTTCGATTTCGATTTTAGTCGCGACAATACAATGCTGGACGAACGTTCGCGGCATAAAGAACATCAATACCACAATCAACAACAACAGGCGTCTGCGGCAGGCAGCAGCGCTAATCACCACACTAATGGTGGCAGCATGGATGGCGAGGCGAACAATAGTAATAACAAATTGAATACAATAGCCAACGAAGAGGTGCTGGCCAAAACCGAAGTAGTCAATTTAGCGATCATACCACACTTCGATGAGGAACTCGAACGGCTGCAACGCTTGCGCGAATACGAAGGCCGCCGACATTATCGGCAACGCTATCGCCAGAAGCCAAGCGAAGAGGAATTATCGGGCATACATTGCATCATGCAGGCCATGATGGGCATAGCGGCGATTTCGACGGTGTTCGGAATGTTGGGTACATTTTTCAAGCAACGAATACTCGATCAGATACGCTTGATGCATTGGTAGTACAGCAAGGGTATTCGATTGTACGGCGAATATTATTTATTTGTGAAAATGTCGGCAATTACAATTGAATACCCACCCGGTTCATCCACACAACAACAAGTACAACAGCTACAACATCATCATCAGCAGCAGCAGCAAAAACAACAAGCAAAACAAAAACAAGAACAAGAACAACAGCAATACAACACAAACACGAACAAATGCAAGAACAAAAACAAAAACTTAAGCATGAGCAACGTAGCGATTTTTTTTAAACTATTTTCCTGAAATCACACAATTTCATAGCAATAATGAAGAAGCTTTTAATACTGATTACTATATAAAAAACACTAACACTATGTAGCGAAAAAAAAACGAGTGTGCGCGGTTGTAGAATTGCAGGCGTCATTTTTTTTCAAATAGTTATGCTTTTATTACAAATTAGCATAAAAACTTGGTATAAAACTAAGAAAAAATTATGAAAAAATAGTTAATTTTGCGAAGAACAAAGCGGCTTTAAAACCTATAATTTTCGAGATTTAAAAAATTTTAAGCTTTAAATGCGAAGAACAAAGCGCCTTTAAAACCTATAATTTTTGAGTTTTAAAAAAATTTTAAGCTTTAAATGCGTCTTGTTCGGCAGATTTTTTTTTTTAATCTTATACAAAAAAAATTTGATTTTTTTTTAAACAAACGAAAATATTATATTTGAAGTTATTGTAAATTTTACAAAAAAATGGCCCTTATTATGAGCTGCATTCGATTTTCGATCTTCGCTGGCTATCGAAGATCGAAGATCGAAAGTGAAATTCGTATTATGAGCTATGCAGGCGTGTCGAAATTTTCGTTGAGTATCGAATTTTCTGTCGAACAGAATTTTGCTTTCGATGGTGTAACGAAGTGTTAGAAAATTGTGAAAAATGTATGATTTTGTATATGTTTTCTTACATTTTGGCGGCTAGACACTAATTTTAAACAATTTTTATTAATTTCATGCAGTTCTAACATCGTGAATACTAAACACAAGCTCGAAAGGCTGGTTTTACTTGTGAAAGAAAATCCCAATGCTCTGTTGGCATGATCTCTGAGAACAAAATCGTAGCGCTGTTGATAGTTTTAAAATATTTTAAATAGATTTGGCTCACAAACGCCTCTTTAGATGGTCGGAACTTTTTAATGAATCCGTAGACAAATTTCTTAAATATATTTTATATCAAAATATATTCGAAAGACTAATAAACTTAAATGTTTAAGAGAGTATTTGCTACTCCTGGCCAGTTTACTAAGCTCTCATCCTCTGACGAATCGTTGAACCAGAACTCGTTGTACTCATTTTACCACGTTTTTATAAAATTGCTTTCTTTTTGACTTCATTTTAATTAGAACAAATTTACATAAATATGTATAAGCACCGTATTTAGTTTGCTCGATTTGTAAACAAAGCTTCTCAGCGGTGAAAAATATACTATTGTGAACAACCTAAACGAGCGAAATTCACAATAGCGCTATTCTTCATCGAATGAGCGCCATAATACCAAATGAAAATTCGTTCGCTCAGCACTTTCGACCACAGTCGAAAATCGAATGCAACTCATAATAGGGTCCAAATATTACAAGAAAAATTTTAAATTAATACAAAAATTGAACGCTAATTTTTGCAACTAATTTTCAAGTATTTTTAAAATTTAGGAAAGTTTCATAGCCTAAAAAAATTCGTATAACCTCAAAGGGAATGGAAAATTACAAGTAATGTCACAAAAATTCATTTTTTCATTACAAAAGCGATATAAAATATTGTACCAAATTTTTCACCTCTATAAATTCAAAGAAACAGTAATATTTAGTTTCGCCAAAGGTATAGAGAATTTCCCCAAACTTTAAAAAACATAAATCTCGGGAGGACTTGGTTTAACGCTAAACAAAGCGTTTTTAAAACTTAAAATATTTTAAAACTTAAAAATATTAACTTTTAAAAATAAAAAAATGTATGTGTAACCTAAATAAATATTTTAACAACCTAAAGAAAATTTTCTACAACCTCAAAAGGTAGATAATTTCCCTAATCTTTAAAAACCAGAAAACTCGACTCGAAGGCTTCGTTTGAGGCTCTTTTAAAGCAAAATTATGGCTTATTTTTTAACATTTAATAAACAATTTTGTTTTTTTAAACCCGTTAGTATTTTTCGCGTCAGCGTTGCATTCTTTTTGTAAATAGAATTTATGTATTCTATGAGCATATTTAAAATTCAAACTTGACTAGCCTGCAAACGCCGCACATACATATATATATATATATACATATATACGAGTCATGCTTATATTAGTCATACATAACCTAAACAAAATTAAACATTTATTTTAGATACACTAAAAATTAAACACAACTGCTAGCGTCATACATGCATACATACTACATACAAAATATGTAGCTAATAACCTAATACAACAATTGTACACAAACTAACAATAGTAAACAGCATGCTTACATACATACATATGTACTATACATACTTAATCATACTCATGCACACATCAATATACGCATATATGTAAACCCTTCTTAAATGTGCATACACATACTTTTATGACATACTATGTATTTTTCTCCTCCCCTGCTCCTTTAAGCGTAAGATACAAAAATGTATGTATACTATTTACTACAACTATTACTACTATTGTACTACTACTACTACATGCATACATACATACAAACATACTAATACTAAAAAAAAAACAACAAATAAGAAAAAATATTTCCTTTAACTCAATTTAATGGATTCGTGCAAGCTACCCAGATGAAGAAAAATAAGAGAAAAAATGGCCAATTATACTGCGCATGCGTGCCAGCTTATTGAGCGTAAATAAGCTGTTTGAAGCGAACGTAAGCAGCGGAAGCAAATGAATGCAAATCCTTGAAGCGCTTTAACAGCTAAACAGGAAACGGAAGCAAAAAAAAATTGCGATCGAAATTGAAATCGAAAAAAAATATGGTCACCTGAGATGCTATTGAAAATTTGTTTTTTTATCCCATACACTTTTTCATACTTCGGTTTAGAAATTATACAATTAACAACGAAAATCCCCTTAACTTTCTTCCAATGACCAATAGAGCAGAGTAGTATTTAACACATCTGGCAATGCCATGAACATAAAAACAATGTCCATACGAGTCTCACTTTCAAGGCATACAAACTAACTTGAACTAACCATAGCTCCTGCTTCGAACTCCTTCACTTACTTCTTTATTAACCAGAAAAATGTGCGAAAAATATCAACGACAGTGTGAGCTTAAAGTTTTCATACAAAGATATTTACATAAATTCAAACGTTTAACTCTACATAAAGCGCACGTCAGATTTGCTCCTACACACACACACTCACAGCCATCTACATAATTTTTTTTTTTTTTTCAAAAACAATTCATAAAAAAAAATATTTTAAATATTTTTATACTTCAGTTCGAAAAATGACCTCAAATTAGATCACAAAAACTAATTATTTGAAATCACGCCAAAAACGAATTGGCTTAAAATAAAATTTTCAATTGCCAATGCATCACTAAAGAAAATATAAATGTGAAATTAAAGTCATAAATATACAATTAGCAGAAAATTGTCAAGAAAACAGGAAAATGTTGAAAAATAGTTGCAATATATATAAATTTTTAAAAAGCACAATTAATTCAAGTTGAAAGTGGCTTTTAAAATACATAAATTAAATTCAATAAGAAAAGTTGAAGAAATTAGCACTTAAGCAGCAGGAAAAAAGTATTTATTTAAATTAATTTTAAATAAGATCGATTGGCGAAAGTTGAAAAAGCAAGCAAAAATGAAGTCATGCTGCATGTAAATTGTACATATGTATGTGCAACTTTATGCTGCAGCATAAATAAGCAAATAACGAATTTTCAAAATTTAAAATGCTTCTAAAATAACAAAGAAAAGTAAGATAAAAGTAATGCATCAAACAAAGCAAACACAAAATGCATTAAAACAACTATAGTTTAAGTTTAAACTTAACAACTTAACATCTAAGCTGGGTAGTCGCATGTAAATCTAAAACTAAAAAAAAAAAAAACCTTAACCCTTAGTAACTAGCCTAACTTACGTATAGTATTAGTTGTAATGCAATTGAAAGAATAACAAAAAAACATAATGTTTAAAAGCAAAAACGAGAAAACCCCAAATTCCTAAAAAAAATCAGCAAACGAAAAAAAGGTGCGATCTAACTAAATTTAATTTTTATTCGTTTAAAGCGCCAACAAATATTGCATTTAAACAGAAAATAAAGTTTAGTTTTACTTGAAATGCGCATAACGAAATACAAATAACAGGTAAACGAATAATTTTTAAATGTGTAAAATTTTTTAAAAAACATTTTTTTTATTTCTATGTATACAAAATCAAAAACGAAAACGAAATTCAATTTGCATACTCAAAATACTATCGTCATAGCATCCCTTACCTAATTAACACTATGCAACAAGCAAATAGATATATTTGTGCGAAAATTGCACTATGTATTTTGTTTTATTTATTTTTATTTTATTTTTAATTTGTTGTGTATATTATATTTAACTCTTGCGAGTATAACTTGAAAATACTATATATATATATATATATATACTATATATATTTATGTACTGTATATGTATTGTAATTGTGTGCCGTGCATATGCAATATGTACTATATGTATATGAAAACTTACAAACACACACACACGCATACACAGCCGTATAAACATGTGTTCTATATGATTGTTTTATATCCAACCAATAAACTACATAATCGAAAAAAAAATAAAAATAAAAATAAAAATAAAATAAATTGCATTTTTATTCACAGAGTTACTTAAATGCTTTGGTACATACATGCCACTTAAATTCTCTAGAGCTGTTCAGCATATTGTGGACATGGTGTGGGATTTGCAGTTGGAATTGCACCATGTCTTTTTATTCTCAAAATCCGATGTTATTTATAACCTCATCTAATATAACTTAACAGTTTATAAAATTTACTCTTTTTTCCTTCGATGCACTGCTAACGCAGCGACATATTTTAATTTACCTAAAAATCAAATAAAGGTTTTCCTTGCACTACAAAGGCAGCGACACTTTTTATTTTTATGAAAAAGTTTCAAATTCGGTTCCATAACCTTTTAGTTCTTACTCCACTATCCAAGGCAATTGGCACAAGGCACACCAGAGCAAAAACAAACTACATTTATTTTGTTGTTTATTTCAACTCCAAAAACGTTGAACCAAATTTAACATTTTAAATTAAAATATACTAAATAAAAATTACAATTTATGCATAAAATCAAATCTGCTCCTCTGCTACTGCCTTTC